GAGCACAATTAGAACTCCCAGGACCGAGGTGAGGAGGAATAGGGTTAAGAATGTTTTGATTATTCCTCGCTGGGCAGCGGTTAGGGCGGCGGAGGCGGATTCATTGGTGTTGCTTGCTTTTTTGGGCCCAGATTTCTCTATTCAGGTTTGGTCTATCATTTGATTAGCCAGGTGCTGTCCGAAATATAGGCTTATTTTTGGAGCCATTCGATGGAATACTAGAGGAAAGTATCCTAGTATGTTGGAGAAGTGGTGGGTAAACGGGTTGGGGGAGTGTTTTAACTGTTTGGAGGTTTGTTTGGCTAATTCAAGAGCGAAGAGTAGTCCTATGACTGTGACTACGATGGCAATTGTTTTGGCTAAGGGGGGAGTGTTATTACAGGGGTTTTAAAGGGGGTAAAGATGCATGTAATTAACAGTCCCGCAACAATGCTTCCTCAGGCTAGTCGGGCAAGTGGTTTAAGGATTGCTGGGTCATTTTCGGTGATAGCGAGTAGGGGGGAGAATCGAGGTTGGCCTATTGTGACATAGTAGATGAGTCGGAGGCTGTAGACAGCCGTAAAAGAGGTGGCTACAAGGACGAACAGGAGGGCACAGGAGTTGAGGTGGGTAACGGCAAGGGCTTCAATGATGGCGTCTTTTGAGTAGAACCCGGCCAGGAAAGGGGTGCCGATTAATGCCAGGCTGCCGATTGTAAAGCAGGTTGAGGTTGTAGGGAGGATGTTGAATAATCCGCCCATTTTTCGAATATCTTGCTCGTCGTTTAGGGCGTGAATGAAGGAGCCTGCGCATATGAACAGTATTGCTTTAAAGAAGGCATGGGTGCAGATGTGGAAGAAGGCAAGTTGGGGCTGATTGAGTCCAATGGCGACCATCATCAATCCCAGTTGGCTTGAGGTAGAGAACGCGATGATTTTCTTAATGTCGTTTTGTGCTAAGGCGCATACTGCAGTAAAGAAAGTTGTGAGGGCGCCCATTCAAAGACAGGTAGTAAGAGCGAATTGGTTGCCGTCTATTAGTGGGCTAAATCGGATGAGGAGGAAGATTCCTGCGACAACTATTGTGCTGGAGTGAAGTAGGGCCGATACGGGGGTTGGGCCTTCCATGGCAGCCGGAAGTCAGGGGTGAAGGCCAAACTGAGCGGATTTTCCAGCTGCTGCTAGTATTAGACCGCAAAGGGGGGTAAGGTTATAGTTTCCTGCGTTGTTGAATAACACATCGAGTTCCAGGGAATTAAGATTTGTTGCTATTCATCCCATGGTAAATAATATTCCGACATCTCCAACTCGGTTGTAGAGGACCGCCTGTAGGGCGGAAGTGTTTGCGTCTGCTCGTCCGTATCATCAGCTAATAAGGAGGAAGGATATAATTCCCACCCCTTCTCAGCCGATGAATAGCTGGAACATGTTATTAGATGACACGAGGAGGATCATTGAGATTAGGAAAATAAGTAGGAATAAGAAGAAGTGGTCAATTTTGGGGTTGCCTTTTATATACGAGGTGGCGAATACGAGAATGGATCATGTTACGTATAGGGCGACGGGGACAAAGATAGCGGCATATAGGTCGTATTTTACGCTAAAAAAGATATTAAAGCTCGGAGTGCTAAATCAGGGGATTGAGAATGCTAAGGCATTGTCTTCGACGCAGAGGACTAGAACGCCAAGAGGGAGGCTTAAGAAAAAGGCCGTAAGAACGCCTTTAACAGTTAGGAATCGGAGGGTGGCTAGAATCTTTTCCTTAGGGAGTAAAGAAAGAAGACATGGCCGCGCTAAGACAAACAAAATTATAATAATGAGGGAGGTGACAAGGGTTGTATGAGTATTGGGGGCCATTAAAGTTCCCGCTTGGATTTGCACCAAGAGTTTTTGGTTCCTAAGACCAACGGATAAACTGTTATCCTTCAGGAGCGTGCTGAGAAGAGCCCGGGACTCCAACCCGGGGTGCTAGGGTTAGCAATCTTAGCTGCGGGCAGGCCTCTCTCGGTGGACAAGGGGGGTCTAACCCCTGTCTCTAGAATCACAATCTAGTATTTTTTTTAAACTATGTCTACATGCGAGGGGGCCCGAGATTAGGGATGGCTTGAGGATAAGGGCGAGAAGCGGGAGGAGGTGTAGGGCTATGAGGAGGTGTTCTCGGGAGAATGATGGGGGGAGATTGATAATGTGGGGAGGGAGGGGTCCTCGTTGTGTCATTAAAAATATGTAGAGAGAATAGGCCGCTGTGATCAAGGTTCCTGTCCCAGTGAGAGCGATTGTTCATCACGATCAGTTGAGCATACTTACAATGATCATCATTTCTGCCATGAGGTTCGGAAGCGGGGGAAGTGCAAGATTGGCTAGGCTGGCAATAAATCATCATGCGGCTATTAGAGGAAGGGCCATTTGTAGTCCTCGGGCTAGTACTATTGTTCGTGTGTGAGTTCGTTCGTAGTTGGTGTTTGCAAGGCAGAAAAGTGCAGATGAGGTCAGTCCGTGGGCAATCATGAGAATTAATGCTCCTGTAAAGCTTCAGGGTGTTTGAATGAGGATGCCTGCTGCCACTAGTCCTATGTGGCTTACGGAGGAGTAGGCAATTAGTGATTTCAGGTCGGTTTGTCGTAAGCAGATTGAGCTAGTTATAATAACTCCCCAGAGAGCAAGGATGATAAATGGATAGCTAAGCTCTTTTGTCAGGGGGTCAAGAATAATAAGGATTCGTATTATTCCGTAGCCCCCTAGTTTTAGTAAGACGGCGGCAAGGATTATAGACCCAGCAATGGGTGCTTCTACGTGGGCCTTGGGTAGCCAAAGATGGACTCCATAGAGGGGCATTTTTACTAAAAATGCCAGAAGACATGCAGCTCATCAGAAGTTGTCGGCGTAAGAGTGGTAAATGAAGGGTTTTATATACTGGAGCGTAAGGATTGAAAGGGACCCAGAGGAGGCTTGAAGGAGGAGGAGGGCCACTAGAAGGGGGAGGGAGCCAGCCAGGGTGTAGAAAAGGAAATAGGTTCCTGCATTTAAGCGTTCTGCCTGGTTTCCTCAGCGGGTGATGAGGAATAGGGTTGGAATAAGAGTGGCCTCAAATATAACGTAAAACATGATTACTTCTGTTGCACTAAAAGCAAGGATTAAAAAGAATTGAAGGGTAATTATTAGCGAGATGTAGAGTCGTTGACGGTGGGCTGGTTCAGAGGATATGTGGTTTTGGCTGGCAATAATTATAAGAGGCAGTAGTCAGCAGGAGAGGACAAGAAGGGGACTGGACAAAGCATCAGCTCCTGTAATGGGACTTAAGTAGGTTCAAGTCGTATCTCAGGGCTTCTTTATTCAAACTAGGCTCAGTGTGGCAATGAGGAGGCTTTGGGCAGCCGAAACTTGTCAAATCCATTTAGAAGGGGTCCACCAGGTGGTTGGAATGAGAAGAAAAGTTGGGATTAGGATTTTTAACATTGGAGGAGGTTTAGGTTTTGCATGCGGTCAGAGCCGTGAGTGCGAGCGGTTGCAACAAGAAGTCCTAGGCCAGCGCTGGCCTCACAGGCTGAGAAGGCCAGGAGGATTATAGGTGCAATTGAAAAACTAGAGGAGTTTAGTTGCAGGGTCCAGAGTGCAAAGGCAATGAATAGAGATAGTATTATTCCTTCCAAACATAAGAGGGCAGACAAAAGATGGGTTCGGTGGAATGTTAGTCCTATCAGGCCTAGCGTAAATGTTGAGGAGAAGGCAAAGTGAGCAGGAGTCATAAGACTATTGTGGAATTTAACCACAAGCTTTTGAGCCGAAATCAAAGGTTTTAATTAAACTAACAGTCTACTCCGCCCACTCCAGCCCGCCTTGTATTCATTCATAGATTAATCCCACAGTAAGTAAAATTAAGACACCTGATGCCCAGCAGAAAGTTAGCAATGGGGTGGTTAGCTGGTCCCCCCACGGGAGGGGGAGCAGTAGGGCAATTTCAAGGTCAAACAGTAGAAAGAGGATCGCGACAAGGAAAAAGCGGAGGGAGAAGGGCAGGCGGGCTGTGCCCAGGGGGTCAAATCCGCATTCATAGGGCGATAGTTTCTCGTAGTCTGGAATTATCTGAGGCAGCCAGAAAGACACCAAGGCTAGGATCGAGGAGAGTAGGGCGGCAATGATGAGGGAGGTAGTAAGTAGATTGGACATTATCTTTTCTTGGATTTTAACCAAGGCTGGGTGGTTGGAAGCCATCAGTACTAAGACTGTACTAAAAAGATTAAGAACCTCATCAATAGATGGAGATGTACAGGAATAGTCATACTACATCGACAAAGTGTCAATATCAGGCGGCGGCTTCGAACCCGAAATGGTGTTCGGATGTAAAATGGTATTGAATCTGGCGGAGAAGGCACACGGCCAGGAAAGTTGAGCCAATAATAACATGTAGGCCGTGGAATCCGGTTGCGACGAAGAAGGTTGAGCCGTACACGCCGTCTGCGATTGTGAAGGGGGCTTCGTAGTATTCTATGCCTTGAAGGAATGTAAAATAAAACCCTAGGAGGATCGTAAGGGTTAAGGATTGAATTGCTTGTTTTCGTTCTCCTTCTATGATGCTGTGGTGGGCCCAAGTGACTGTGACCCCCGAGGCTAGAAGCACTGCTGTGTTTAAGAGGGGGACTTCAAAGGGGTCTAAGGTGGTGATTCCAGTGGGGGGTCAGCATCCTCCAAGTTCGGGGGTCGGGGCCAGACTTGAGTGGTAGAAAGCTCAGAAGAAGCCTAGGAAGAAGAAAACTTCGGAGGTAATGAATAAGATTATACCGTAACGAAGTCCCTTCTGCACGGGTGGGGTGTGGTGGCCTTGGAATGTTCCTTCTCGCACGATGTCTCGTCACCATTGATATATGGTGAGAAGAAGTAGAACTGTTCCTAGGGTTATTAGTACAATAGAGTTATAGTGGAATCAGATTGCTAGGCCGGATGTTATTAAGAGGGCGGCAACTGCCCCTGTCAGAGGTCATGGGCTGGGGTCGACTATATGGTATGCGTGTGCTTGATGGGCCATTAGACGTTTTCTTGAAGGTACAGGCTTAGAAGCAGGACAAAGACGTAGGCCTGAATCATAGCCACAGCTACCTCCAGGAGGGTTAGTAGTAGTAAGAGTGTTGCGGTTAGTAATGCAACTGTAGGCATTAGGGGAGCTAGGACGAATGCAGCGGTGGCAATAAGTTGAATAAGGAGGTGCCCTGCTGTTAGGTTGGCAGTGAGTCGAACACCAAGGGCGATGGGACGAATAAAAAGGCTAATTGTTTCGATAATAATCAGTACTGGAATTAGGGGGGTGGGGGTGCCTTCTGGGAGGAGGTGGCCCAGGGCGATGGTAGGTTGGTTGCGCATTCCAATCAGCACTGTTGCAAGTCATAGGGGGACGGCAAAACCTATATTTAGGGAAAGTTGAGTAGTAGGGGTGAAGGTGTAAGGGAGAAGGCCTAGCATATTTAAGGTAATTAAGAAGACTATTAAAGATGTTAATAAAAGTGCCCATTTGTGCCCTTTACGGCCTAGCGGGAGCATAAGTTGTTGTGTGAATCGATTAATGAATCAGCCCTGGAGGGTTAGCACTCGGTTGCTGATTCATTGAGATGTGGGTTTAGGGTATAATGTCCAAGGAAGAATGAGCGCGAGGGCTATTAAGGGGATCCCTAGGTAGGAAGGGCTTATGAATTGATCAAAGAAGCTTAATACCATGGTCAAGCTCAGGGTTCTGTCTTTGGAGTATGGGCGCTCCGGGATGTTGTTTCGTTGGGAAAAGTGTGTGATAGAACCTTTCGTGGCAGAACAATTAAAAAAATTAGCCAGGAAAAAAACAGGATTGTGAATCAGGGGGCTGGGTTAAGTTGAGGCATGTCGCTAGGGGTGGTTGGGGGCCACCAATCTTTAGCTTAAAAGGCTAACGCTTAGACCCTATTCAGCTTCTTAGCGAGGCGTCTTCGAGCATAAGAGAGGATCAGTTTTCGAAGTGTTCTAGGGGGACGGCTTCTACCACGATGGGCATAAAGCTATGGTTTGCGCCACAAATTTCAGAACACTGTCCGTAGTACACTCCTGATCGGGAGGCAACGAAAGCTGTCTGATTCAGTCGCCCGGGAACTGCGTCTATTTTTACCCCTAGGGCTGGTACTGCTCAGGAGTGGAGAACGTCTTCGGCGGAGACAAGGACTCGAACGGGGGACTCTGAGGGGACCACTATTCGGTGGTCGGTTTCTAGTAGTCGGAATTGTCCTGGGGAGAGATCTTGTGTTGGGATTATGTAGGAGTCAAAGCCTAGTTCTTCATAATCTGTATACTCGTAACTTCAGTATCATTGGTGTCCCATGGCTTTAATTGTTAAATGAGGGTCATTAATTTCATCTATCAGATAAAGAATTCGGAGGGAGGGAAGGGCGATTAAGATTAGAATTAGTCCGGGGAGAACAGTTCAGATGACTTCGATTTCTTGGGAGTCTAGAATATACTTATTTGTTAGGTCCGTGGTGACTATTGCAATAATAATATAAAGTACTAGTGTACTAATCATAAAGACAATTATTAGGGCGTGGTCGTGGAAGTGGAGAAGTTCTTCTATTACAGGGGAAGCTGCGTCTTGAAAGCCAAGTTGAGAGGGATGTGCCATTAATGGTCAAGGTATGTGGGGTTTTAACTCACAACTCGGTCCTGACGAGACCATGTAATAATTTTACTAATATCTTATTAAGAAAGTGACAGAATGGTTATGTGGTTGGCTTGAAACCAGATCATGGGGGTTCAATTCCTCCCTTTCTCGTTAGTTAGTCCGTACTTGGACAAAAGCTGGTTCTTCAAATGTGTGGTAGGGAGGAGGGCAGCCGTGTAGCCACTCGACGTTGGTGATAGTCAGTTCAACTGATACTACTTCACGTTTTGAGGCAAATGCTTCTCATAGAATGAATAGGAACATAATTACGGCCACTAAGGAAATGATGGACCCGAAAGAGGAGACAGTGTTTCACAGCGTATAGGCGTCGGGGTAGTCTGAGTAGCGTCGGGGCATGCCGGCCAGACCAAGGAAGTGTTGGGGGAAGAAGGTTAAGTTCACCCCAATAAACATAACTACAAAATGAACTTTGGTTCAGGTCGAGTGCAGGGTGTAGCCCGTAAAGAGTGGGAATCAGTGAACGAAGGCGGCAACGATGGCAAATACAGCCCCCATAGACAGCACATAGTGGAAGTGGGCTACTACGTAATAAGTGTCATGGAGAACAATGTCCAGTGAGGAGTTAGCCAGTACGATCCCGGTCAGCCCTCCGACTGTAAATAGGAAGATGAACCCGAGGGCTCAAAGGAGTGGGGTTTCTCATTTAATAGAGCCCCCGTGGAGGGTGGCGAGTCAGCTAAACACTTTTACCCCGGTTGGAATGGCAATAATTATTGTGGCAGAGGTAAAATACGCTCGAGTGTCTACGTCTATGCCAACAGTAAACATGTGGTGGGCTCAAACAATAAAGCCAAGAAGGCCAATTGCCATCATTGCTCATACCATGCCCATATAGCCGAACGGTTCTTTTTTACCTGCGTAGTATGCTACGATGTGTGAAATTATTCCAAAGCCTGGGAGAATTAGAATATAAACTTCGGGATGTCCGAAAAATCAAAATAAATGTTGGTAAAGAATTGGGTCACCTCCCCCGGCAGGATCAAAGAAGGTTGTGTTCAGGTTTCGGTCTGTAAGGAGCATTGTGATACCGGCGGCAAGAACGGGTAGGGAAAGAAGAAGTAGGACGGCTGTAATAAGGACGGCTCAGACAAATAAAGGGGTTTGGTACTGAGAAATAGCAGGGGGTTTTATGTTAATAATTGTTGTAATAAAATTAATTGCCCCTAGGATTGAAGAAATCCCTGCAAGATGCAGGGAGAAAATTGTTAGATCAACGGATGCACCCGCATGCGCAAGGTTTCCAGCTAGTGGGGGGTAGACGGTTCAACCTGTCCCGGCCCCAGCTTCTACCCCAGACGATGCTAGGAGAAGTAAAAAGGAGGGGGGCAGAAGTCAGAAGCTCATGTTGTTTATTCGAGGGAACGCCATGTCTGGGGCCCCGATCATCAGGGGAATAAGTCAGTTTCCAAATCCGCCAATTATAATTGGCATTACTATAAAGAAAATTATTACAAACGCATGTGCTGTGACGATTACATTGTAAATTTGGTCGTCTCCAAGAAGGGCCCCGGGTTGGCTTAGTTCTGCCCGAATAAGCAGGCTTAGGGCTGTGCCCACTATCCCGGCCCAAGCACCGAAAATAAGGTAAAGGGTGCCAATGTCTTTATGATTGGTTGAAAAGAGTCAACGGGTGGTTGCCACAGGTAGGATGGCTGAGTTTTAAGCGGTGGATTGTAGCCCCATATACAGAGGTTTGAGTCCTCTTCTTACCAAGCTCCGAGGTGGTTCTCATATTGGATTGCAAATCCAAAGAAGTCGGTTAATTCCCGACCGGGGCTTTCCCCCGCCTTCTTAGCTCGAAAAGGCGGGGGAAAGGCTAGACGAATGCTCGCTGGTTTGAGCGCTTAGCTGTTAACTAAGAGTTTGTAGGATCGAGGCCTGCTTGTCTAGAAAGGCCTTAGCTTAATTAAAGCGTCTGTGTTGCATACAGGAAATGTGGGTTAGTGTCCCGCAGGTCTTATTCAGCAAATGTGGGGCTCCCACCCCCTCTTCGGGCTTTGAAGGCTCGCGGTCTGTAATGTTAACCTAAATTGCTAAGTTGTGAACAGTGTTGTTAGTGCTGGTGTTAAGGGTAGGAGTATTATAGTGGCGGCAGTTGAGAGGGCAAGGGGGAGAGTCTTTTGAGGGCTGTTAAGGCGTCAGGGGGTTGTCCCTGGGAGGTTGTTGGGGGACATGGTGAGGGTTATGGAGTAGGATAGGCGGAGGTAAAATACTAGGCTAAGAAGGGCGCTAAGGGCTGCTAGTGTGGCTGTTAGCCCTAGGTCTTGCTTAGTTAGTTCTTGAAGGATGAGTCATTTTGGTATAAATCCTGTCAGGGGGGGTAGCCCTCCTAGGGAGAGTAGAATTAAGGGGGTTAGGGCGGTTATAGTTGGAGATTTCGTTCAGGAGGTTGACAGAGCATTTATTGTTGTTACATTGTTTAGTTTAAAAACAACAAATGTTGAAAATGTTATTAGGAAGTACGTAATCAGAGTGAGGAGTGTCAGTGAGGGGGTGAATTGAAGAACTAGGATTATTCATCCAAGGTGGGCGATGGATGAATAGGCAAGGACTTTGCGAAGTTGTGTTTGATTTAGTCCTCCCCAGCCTCCTACAAGTGTGGAGACTAGCCCTAGCAAAATAAGAGTGGTTGAGTTTATGGGCTGGGTCTGCAAGAGGAGGGCAAAGGGGGCTAGTTTCTGCCAGGTGGATAGGATGAGGCCGGTAGTGAGATTCAACCCTTGTAGGACTTCAGGTAGTCAAGTGTGTAGTGGTGCTAGACCAATCTTTAGGGCAAGGGCCATGGTCAGAAGGGTGAGTGGCAGGGGGTGGGTCAGTTGAAAAATGTTCCATTGTCCTGTGAGCCAGGCGTTGGTGGTGCTTGCAAATAGGATTATGGCTGCAGCGGTGGCTTGGGTGAGGAAGTATTTTGTGGTGGCTTCTACTGCCCGGGGGTGGTGGTGTTGGGCTATTAGTGGAAGGATGGCGAGGGTATTAATTTCCAGGCCTATTCACGCGAATAGTCAGTGGGAACTTGCAAATGTAATGGTTGTCCCTAGGCCCAGGCTTAGAAGTAAGGTGGTTATAATTAGGGGGCTCATTAGGAAGGGTTGGAGTTTAACCAACATTCTTGGGGTATGGGCCCAAAAGCTTTGTTAGCTTACCTTTCTAGAAGGTGGTGTAGAGGAAGCACTAAGAGTTTTGATCTCTTCGGGTGGGGTTCAAGTCCCCTCTTTCTAAGGAGGTGGAAGGACTTTAACCTTCATTATTCACTCTATCAAAGTGACCCTTTAAACTTCAGGCACAGCCCCAGTGCTAGGATTGTGGTGGGATCCCGGCGAATGCTGTGGGGAGGGAGAGGTGTCAGATAATCAGGGCAAGTGTTGTAGGTAGGAAGTTTTTCCAAATGAGGTGCATGAGTTGATCGTATCGGAACCGGGGGTAGGAGGCTCGCACTCACAAGAACAGGACCGCGAGGAGCGAGGCTTTTGTTATTATGTTAAGTGAGGTAAGCTCGGGGAAGATGGGGGTGTACATTGCGCCTCAGAATAAAATAGCAGATAGAGTGTTCATTAGTAAGATGTTGGCGTACTCCGCCAGGAAGAATAGTGCGAAGGGTCCTCCGGCATACTCTACGTTGAATCCTGAGACTAGTTCGGATTCCCCCTCCGTTAGGTCAAAGGGGGCCCGGTTGGTTTCGGCAAGGGTTGAAATATATCATATTGCCGCTAGTGGCCATGCTGGGAGGAGGAGTCAGACACTTTCTTGGGTCGTGCTAAAGGTTTGCAGGGTGAACCCGCCTGAAAAAATGATAATGCTTAGTAGGATAAGCCCAAGACTAACTTCGTAGGAAATGGTTTGGGCAACGGCTCGGAGGGCTCCAATGAGGGCGTATTTTGAATTTGATGCTCATCCCGAGCCAAGGATGGAGTATACTGCCAGGCTTGAAAGGGCGAGGATAAATAGAATGCTTAGGTTTAGATCCAAAATTGGATGTGGGAGAGGCATAGGTGCCCATATTAGGAGGGCAAGGGTGAGGGCTAGCATAGGGGCGAATAAAAATAATACAGGAGAAGAGGTTGAGGGTCGCACGGGTTCCTTGAGAAACAGCTTAACGCCGTCAGCAATGGGTTGCAATAGTCCGTAGGGTCCTACAATATTTGGGCCCTTCCGGAGTTGTATGTATCCTAAAACTTTTCGTTCAATCAGTGTTAAGAAAGCTACTGCTAGTAAAACGGGTACAATGTACGCTAGGGGATTGGCAAGGTGGGTGAGGAGGAATGCCATAATTGGAGGGAGGATTTGAACCTCTGTGTAAAGGGCTTAGACCTTCCGCATCATCCGGGCTCTGCCACTCCAATTTCGCCCAGCTCTAGGGCTTGGGGGCCGTGTCCTCTTGCCTGATTTAGTTGCCTGCATCGGGTGAGGGGGAGGCGTGCGGGGAGCAGGGGCCTCTTCTTTCCGGTCCTTTCGTACTAGGAGAGATCACTTCATAGATAGAAACTGACCTGGATTACTCCGGTCTGAACTCAGATCACGTAGGACTTTAATCGTTGAACAAACGAACCCTTAATAACGGCTGCGCCATTAGGATATCCTGATCCAACATCGAGGTCGTAAACCCCCTTGGCGATAGGGGCTCTGGAAGGGGATTGCGCTGTTATCCCTAGGGTAACTCGGTTCGTTGATCGGCTTTGCCGGGTCTGTAAGGTTAAAAGTTTTATTTCTTAGAGCAGGAGCTCTCAGTTTGGGAGGACAGTGCCTCTGTTCCGCTTGGGGGTTTGTTGTTTCCCCGAGGTCGCCCCAACCAAAGACATAAGAGCAGGGGATATTTAGTTTTTTTTCTTGTTCGAAGGTGTTTAACATAGTCTGTCTTTGTGTCTAAAGCTCCATAGGGTCTTCTCGTCTTATGTGGGTATCCCCGCTTCTGCACGGGGGGATCAATTTCATTGACTGGGAAGAGGAGACAGTTTAGCCCTCGTTATGCCATTCATACGGGTCCCCATTTAAAAGACAAGTGATTGCGCTACCTTTGCACGGTCATAATACCGCGGCCGTTGAACGTATTGTCACTGGGCAGGCGGGACCTCTTATTCGTTCAAGTTTGCAAGAGGCGATGTTTTTGGTAAACAGGCGAGGCCAATAGGGTGTTTGCCGAGTTCCTTCTCTTCCTTTTAGTCTTTCCTTTTTAGCACACCAGTGTGGGGTTAACGGTTTTCTATTGGAGAGTTTTCTGGGTTTTTATAGACTGTCTAGTTCCCTCTTCTTTTGGGGTCGTTAAATATCGGTGGGGGTTCGAGCCGAGGTACACATGTGCTGGGAGAGGTTCTAGGTCCTCTTATTACTGATACTAGCAGGATCGCTTCCATGAGTGCATGAAGCGGCCGGATAGAATAAGGGGATTAAGATTGGGTTATCGGAATTTTAGGGTGTGAGGGCGCAGTGCCTAAGCTATAACGCTTTTCTAGGGGGTGGCTGCTTTCAAGCCTACCTCAACTCTCGGGCCTTAATGACTATGATCTTTATCCTTCATTTCAAAGTTGTGTCTTGGTTCAAAGGGGCTGTACCCCCCTTGACTAACTCTTTTGGTTTCTTTTGTAACAGGGAGAAGATTAGGGTCTAGTTGAAAGGAGAATCCAAAAGGCTGAACTTCTATCCACTTCTCCGGCAACCAGCTATAACTAAGTTCGGTAGGTCTGTCACCGCTACTCGAAGCTCTTCCCACTCTTTTGCCACAGAGACGGGTTGGCCCTAGATTTATAGGCTGTCTTGAAGTAGCTCACTTAGTTTCGGGGATTTAAACTAAAATAGATTTTGCTTAAGTGTTACTAGCTAATTCATGATGCAAAAGGTACGAGGGAGAAGCTCTGCTGTTAGTAGTTTGCTGGGCTGTTTCATTTTTCTTTCAGCTTTCCCTTGCGGTACTTTAGTTATTGCTCCTATTTTCTTTTCTATCTCCTATACTGAGAAGGAAAAATGATTTGTTTTATGATGGTGGGTACATTTGGGGGTAGTTAAGAGGGGAGAGTTGATCTTTGGGGGACGGGCTAGCTGTTGGACATTAGAACATCCTGTTTTGCACAGGCATGTGGTGGTTTCAGTTCCGCCATTTAATGGTTGGCAATGTTCGGGGTTTCAAGACAGCCCGGTTTGCACGGGCACCTTCCTTGGGGGGATGCTTTATCTGTGTTTAGCTATGCCTTGGGGTGTGGGTGTGAGTTTGTTGTGGGGTACTGCCAGGTTAGTGCTTATGGAGGGAAAGTTGTTGGGGGTGTCTTGTTGTTTTGTTGCAAATTATATTCCAAGATAGCCCGATTTTCACGGGCACGATTCCCTGGGAGGGGGGCTATTTTTACTTTAGCTGTGTCTTGGGGGTCTGTTGTGAGGGGCCAATAGTTTGGCCCAGTTATGTTGAATCAAGACAACCCGGTTTGCACGGGTACCTTCTCGGTGTAAGTGAGATGCTTTATCTGTGTTTAGCTATATCTTGAGGTCTAATTTCAAGGCAGCCCGGTTTGCATGGGCACCTTCCCCGGAGGGATGCTTTATCTGTGTTTAGCTATGCCTTGGAGTGTGGATACGATCTTGCTGTGGGGGCGTCGTTAGGTTAGTTCTTCTGGAGAGAAGGCTGTTGGGGGGTCTTGTTGTTTTGTCGGAGATTACACCCTAAGACAGTCCGATTTTCATGGGCATTACTCTTGGGGGGAGGAGGTATCTTTGTTTAGTTGCGTTTCGGGGTGCACAGAGTAGTCCGGCTTGCACGGAGATTGATCGGGGTAGAATGATAACTTTTACTTAGTTTTACTCTTGTTTTTCCAAGCGCACCTTCCGGTACACTTACCATGTTACGACTTGCCTCCCCTTACATTGCCTTGTTGTATTAATTATTAGATGTCGGCGGAGTCGGGGAGAGTGACGGGCGGTGTGTGCGCGCTTCAGGGCCAAATTCAGCAAGACACTCTATTTCTTGCTTACTGCTAAATCCTCCTTTAGGCAGATTTTTCAATCCACCATCCGTAATTCATTGTAGTTTATTGAATGTAGCCCATTTCTTCCCCCTCCATTCGCTACACCTCGACCTGGCGTCTAGGGCAGTGCCAGTTTGGCTCATTATTTTACCCTCAAAGGGCGAGCTGACGACGGCGGTATATAGGCGGAAAAGGCAAGGAAGGGTGAGGTTTAACGGGGATTATCGGTTCTAGAACAGGCTCCTCTAGGTGGATCTAAAGCACCGCCAAGTCCTTTGGGTTTTAAGCTGATGCTCGTAGTACCCGGGCGGATAGCGTAAGTGGTGGGCTATCTTTGTTTAGGGCTAGGCATAGTGGGGTATCTAATCCCAGTTTGTTCCCTAGCTTTCGTGGAATCAGAAAAGTTAAAGTCACTTTCGTTGTTGGGCTTCGCTTTTTCGTAAGCGTATAACAGCTTTGAAGTTGTTCGACTTTAGTTTGGGTGTATCTTAACCACTCTTTACGCCGGCAGCTGTCAACTTGGGTCCCTCGTATAACCGCGGTGGCTGGCACGAGATTTACCAACCCTGTAAGCACTAACTAGGTCAAGTTTTCACTCATGGCTTAATATTTGTCACTGCTGAAGTCCCTTGGGGGTGTGGCTGAGCAAGATGTCGTGGGCTGAGTGTCTCGTGCCTGATACCTGCTCCTCGTCTCCATTCAGGAGGAAAGGGCATCCTCACGGGTCTGCGGATACTTGCATGTGTAAGTTTAGCTCAAGTTGAACAGCAAAGTTAGGACCAAACCTTTGTGTTTTCGGGGCTTTCTAGGGCCCATCTTAACATCTTCAGTGTCATGCTTTAATTAAGCTACGATAACAATTTAAATATTATAATATTATAAATTATAGCTATTTGGGCAAAAATTGCTTATAGGCACTTTATTGTTTTTTAGGGGGTCGTAAAAACGTTAGGCTCTTTAGGGGTGAGGTAAAATTGTGTACGGGGGGGGAAGCTTCAAGCACTGTTTAGGATTTCCTGTTTCCGGGGGGGTTTTAGGAGTATTAATGATCTTAGGAGTGTGGGGGGGTAGGGGGGGTTTACCCGCAAAAACCGAGGGGGGCTCGCAGGAGGAGTGATGTGAAAGCTAGTACTATTATGCTCTTGATATAATCTGATGCATTTCTTATTGAAATGTTTATGAGAGCTTAATAGATTATCCTTTAGCCAAATAGGAATATGTACTACCTTGACGTTATTTACCGTGCGCACTCTGAAATGCAAGGTGAAAGGAAGACAAAAAAAAAAACCTCATACCCGCTGGAGTGAACGCTCGGCTAGTTGGGTAACGAGGAGTATGGATTAAAAGCATTAACTTATGCAAGCTTCAAGGAAAGAATGGGGGTCTTAGATCAATTGTTCCTGAAATAGGAACCAAATGCCAGGAATAATGTGAGATTGAGCTACCCCCACGATTTTTGTCCCTGACCATCAATAACCGTTGGCATTAAGTTATGGACTGGTTGGTGGTCTCTTACTGTTCATCTTTGTCTTATATTTATAAGGGTTGTACTTACTTGGTGTAATACATTCTAAGCTTTAATTTGTTAAGCTTCGATTCTATTGCTATAATTGCCTTGTTTAATAGAACATTCCCTGGTGCTGTGTTTGTTACTATAACATGCTTTTTATGTACTAGGCTAAATAGGTTCATTTAATTTAATGTTGATAATACATATATGTCCTTGGTAGCATTAGTATTAATGGTCTATGTAAGTATATGCATTTTCCATATATGTCAAAGAATAGTTTAAATTAGAATTCTAGCTTTGGGAGTTAGCGGCGGGAGTTAGAATCTCCCTTCTTTGAGCAAAAGGGAGGATTTAAACCTCCACCTGCCGGTTTACAAGACCGGTGCTCTGTTTTGAGCTACTAGTGCACGCCCATTTTAGGGTCTTATTCTCCATTCACCCCGCAACAGGGGCTAGGACCAAGAACAGCAGGAAGTAGACGATGGAGGCGATTTGTCCAATGATAATGAAGGGGTGTTCGACGGGCATGCCTCCAATTCATGTGAGAACAACAACGTCTGCTGCTAGTGTTCAGAATAAGAACTGTGTCAATGGGCGGAAGGTTAGTCCTCGTTGCTTCGATGTGTGCAAGATGGGTACTACCATGAGAACTAGGATAGAAAAGAGGAGGGCCAGCACCCCTCCAAGTTTGTTTGGGATTGAACGTAGGATGGCGTAAGCGAAAAGGAAGTATCATTCGGGCTTAATGTGGGGGGGTGTGACTAGGGGGTTTGCGGGCGTAAAATTATCTGGGTCCCCTAATAGGTTGGGCGTAAATAGGGCTAAGGAGGTTAATCCGATTAAAAGTGCTGCAAAACCTAAAAGATCTTTATATGAGAAGTAGGGGTGGAAAGAGATTTTGTCAGCATCGGAGTTTAAGCCCAGGGGGTTGTTGGAACCGGTTTCATGGAGGAAGAGCAGATGGACTACTGTTGCGGCCGCAATTACAAATGGAAATAGAAAGTGGAAGGCAAAGAATCGAGTTAGGGTGGCATTGTCAACTGAGAAGCCGCCTCAAATCCATTGCACTAATGTGTTTCCTACGTAGGGAACTGCGGATAAGAGGTTGGTAATCACTGTAGCTCCTCAGAATGATATTTGGCCCCATGGAAGCACATAGCCCACGAAGGCGGTCATCATAACTAGGAGCAGGAGTACCACGCCAATATTTCAGGTTTCTTTGTAAAGATAGGATCCGTAGTAAAGTCCTCGCGCGATGTGCATGTAGATACAGATGAAGAAGAAAGATGCCCCGTTAGCGTGCATATTCCGGATTAGCCAACCGTAGTTGACGTCCCGGCAGATGTGGGCTACGGAGGAAAAGGCGGTAGCAATGTCCGACGTGTAGTGTATGGCTAGGAAGAGGCCCGTGAGAATTTGGGAGGCCAAGCAAAGGCCTAGGAGAGAGCCAAAATTCCACCACACGGAGATGTTGGAGGGAGCGGGCAAGTCAACTAAGGCGTCATTGGCAATTTTTAATAGGGGGTGGGTTTTTCGAAGGCTGGCCATTAAGATTTACTCCTGTCAGGGGCAGGGTTCTCGTAGTTGAGAGATACAACGATAGTTTTTCAAGCCATAGGCCCCGGTTGAAGTCCGGGCGAGAATAATGTCTTACACAATAGCTTTGTTACTAATGGGAATGGTTGGGGGGTTAGTAGGGGTTGCCTCAAATCCTTCACCTTATTTTGGGGCCTTGGGATTAGTTCTAGTTTCGGGCACGGGGTGCGGGGTGTTGGCAGGGTATCATGGGGGTTTTTTGTCTTTAGTATTATTTTTAATCTACCTAGGGGGTATGCTTGTAGTTTTTGCCTACTCTGCAGCCTTGGCCGCGGAGCCTTTCCCTGAGGGTTGGCTTAGTTGAACTGTAGCTATGACTGCGTCGAGCTACTTGGTCGGGCTTAGCATTTGTTGGTGAGGGTTCTTTGGACACACAGATCTTCGTCTGGGGGAGGGGCAGGTAATAGGTGGGTGGGGGGACTCGTCCCAGTTGCGGGGGGAAACAGGGGGCGTAGGGCATATATATTCTTCGGGGGGGGGGGCGTGGTAACTTGTGCGGGGGGACTCTTGCTAACCTTATTCGTAGTTCTCGAGCTAACTCGGGGGCTAGCCCGGGGTACAATTCGTTCGGTCTAATAGAGCACAATTAGAACTCCCAGGACCGAGGTGAGGAGGAATAGGGTTAAGAATGTTTTGATTATTCCTCGCTGGGCAGGGTTAGGGCGGCGGAGGCGGATTCATTGGTGTTGCTTGCTTTTTTGGGCCCAGATTTCTCTATTCAGGTTTGGTCTATCATTTGATTAGCCAGGTGCTGTCCGAAATATAGGCTTATTTTTGGAGCCATTCGATGGAATACTAGAGGAAAGTATCCTAGTATGTTGGAGAAGTGGTGGGTAAACGGGTTGGGGGAGTGTTTTAACTGTTTGGAGGTTTGTTTGGCTAATTCAAGAGCGAAGAGTAGTCCTATGACTGTGACTACGATGGCAATTGTTTTGGCTAAGGGGGGAGTGTTATTACAGGGGTTTTAAAGGGGGTAAAGATGCATGTAATTAACAGTCCCGCAACAATGCTTCCTCAGGCTAGTCGGGCAAGTGGTTTAAGGATTGCTGGGTCATTTTCGGTGATAGCGAGTAGGGGGGAGAATCGAGGTTGGCCTATTGTGACATAGTAGATGAGTCGGAGGCTGTAGACAGCCGTAAAAGAGGTGGCTACAAGGACGAACAGGAGGGCACAGGAGTTGAGGTGGGTAACGGCAAGGGCTTCAATGATGGCGTCTTTTGAGTAGAACCCGGCCAGGAAAGGGGTGCCGATTAATGCCAGGCTGCCGATTGTAAAGCAGGTTGAGGTTGTAGGGAGGATGTTGAATAATCCGCCCATTTTTCGAATATCTTGCTCGTCGTTTAGGGCGTGAATGAAGGAGCCTGCGCATATGAACAGTATTGCTTTAAAGAAGGCATGGGTGCAGATGTGGAAGAAGGCAAGTTGGGGCTGATTGAGTCCAATGGCGACCATCATCAATCCCAGTTGGCTTGAGGTAGAGAACGCGATGATTTTCTTAATGTCGTTTTGTGCTAAGGCGCATACTGCAGTAAAGAAAGTTGTGAGGGCGCCCATTCAAAGACAGGTAGTAAGAGCGAATTGGTTGCCGTCTATTAGTGGGCTAAATCGGATGAGGAGGAAGATTCCTGCGACAACTATTGTGCTGGAGTGAAGTAGGGCCGATACGGGGGTTGGGCCTTCCATGGCAGCCGGAAGTCAGGGGTGAAGGCCAAACTGAGCGGATTTTCCAGCTGCTGCTAGTATTAGACCGCAAAGGGGGGGGGTAAGGTTATAGTTTCCTGCGTTGTTGAATAACACATCGAGTTCCAGGGAATTAAGATTTGTTGCTATTCATCCCATGGTAAATAATATTCCGACATCTCCAACTCGGTTGTAGAGGACCGCCTGTAGGGCGGAAGTGTTTGCGTCTGCTCGTCCGTATCATCAGCTAATAAGGAGGAAGGATATAATTCCCACCCCTTCTCAGCCGATGAATAGCTGGAACATGTTATTAGATGACACGAGGAGGATCATTGAGATTAGGAAAATAAGTAGGAATAAGAAGAAGTGGTCAATTTTGGGGTTGCCTTTTATATACGAGGTGGCGAATACGAGAATGGATCATGTTACGTATAGGGCGACGGGGACAAAGATAGCGGCATATAGGTCGTATTTTACGCTAAAAAAGATATTAAAGCTCGGAGTGCTAAATCAGGGGATTGAGAATGCTAAGGCATTGTCTTCGACGCAGAGGACTAGAACGCCAAGAGGGAGGCTTAAGAAAAAGGCCGTAAGAACGCCTTTAACAGTTAGGAATCGGAGGGTGGCTAGAATCTTTTCCTTAGGGAGTAAAGAAAGAAGACATGGCCGCGCTAAGACAAACAAAATTATAATAATGAGGGAGGTGACAAGGGTTGTATGAGTATTGGGGGCCATTAAAGTTCCCGCTTGGATTTGCACCAAGAGTTTTTGGTTCCTAAGACCAACGGATAAACTGTTATCCTTCAGGAGCGTGCTGAGAAGAGCCCGGGACTCCAACCCGGGGTGCTAGGGTTAGCAATCTTAGCTGCGGGCAGGCCTCTCTCGGTGGACAAGGGGGGTCTAACCCCTGTCTCTAGAATCACAATCTAGTATTTTTTTTAAACTATGTCTACATGCGAGGGGGCCCGAGATTAGGGATGGCTTGAGGATAAGGGCGAGAAGCGGGAGGAGGTGTAGGGCTATGAGGAGGTGTTCTCGGGAGAATGATGGGGGGAGATTGATAATGTGGGGAGGGAGGGGTCCTCGTTGTGTCATTAAAAATATGTAGAGAGAATAGGCCGCTGTGATCAAGGTTCCTGTCCCAGTGAGAGCGATTGTTCATCACGATCAGTTGAGCATACTTACAATGATCATCATTTCTGCCATGAGGTTCGGAAGCGGGGGAAGTGCAAGATTGGCTAGGCTGGCAATAAATCATCATGCGGCTATTAGAGGAAGGGCCATTTGTAGTCCTCGGGCTAGTACTATTGTTCGTGTGTGAGTTCGTTCGTAGTTGGTGTTTGCAAGGCAGAAAAGTGCAGATGAGGTCAGTCCGTGGGCAATCATGAGAATTAATGCTCCTGTAAAGCTTCAGGGTGTTTGAATGAGGATGCCTGCTGCCACTAGTCCTATGTGGCTTACGGAGGAGTAGGCAATTAGTGATTTCAGGTCGGTTTGTCGTAAGCAGATTGAGCTAGTTATAATAACTCCCCAGAGAGCAAGGATGATAAATGGATAGCTAAGCTCTTTTGTCAGGGGGTCAAGAATAATAAGGATTCGTATTATTCCGTAGCCCCCTAGTTTTAGTAAGACGGCGGCAAGGATTATAGACCCAGCAATGGGTGCTTCTACGTGGGCCTTGGGTAGCCAAAGATGGACTCCATAGAGGGGCATTTTTACTAAAAATGCCAGAAGACATGCAGCTCATCAGAAGTTGTCGGCGTAAGAGTGGTAAATGAAGGGTTTTATATACTGGAGCGTAAGGATTGAAAGGGACCCAGAGGAGGCTTGAAGGAGGAGGAGGGCCACTAGAAGGGGGAGGGAGCCAGCCAGGGTGTAGAAAAGGAAATAGGTTCCTGCATTTAAGCGTTCTGCCTGGTTTCCTCAGCGGGTGATGAGGAATAGGGTTGGAATAAGAGTGGCCTCAAATATAACGTAAAACATGATTACTTCTGTTGCACTAAAAGCAAGGATTAAAAAGAATTGAAGGGTAATTATTAGCGAGATGTAGAGTCGTTGACGGTGGGCTGGTTCAGAGGATATGTGGTTTTGGCTGGCAATAATTATAAGAGGCAGTAGTCAGCAGGAGAGGACAAGAAGGGGACTGGACAAAGCATCAGCTCCTGTAATGGGACTTAAGTAGGTTCAAGTCGTATCTCAGGGCTTCTTTATTCAAACTAGGCTCAGTGTGGCAATGAGGAGGCTTTGGGCAGCCGAAACTTGTCAAATCCATTTAGAAGGGGTCCACCAGGTGGTTGGAATGAGAAGAAAAGTTGGGATTAGGATTTTTAACATTGGAGGAGGTTTAGGTTTTGCATGCGGTCAGAGCCGTGAGTGCGAGCGGTTGCAACAAGAAGTCCTAGGCCAGCGCTGGCCTCACAGGCTGAGAAGGCCAGGAGGATTATAGGTGCAATTGAAAAACTAGAGGAGTTTAGTTGCAGGGTCCAGAGTGCAAAGGCAATGAATAGAGATAGTATTATTCCTTCCAAACATAAGAGGGCAGACAAAAGATGGGTTCGGTGGAATGTTAGTCCTATCAGGCCTAGCGTAAATGTTGAGGAGAAGGCAAAGTGAGCAGGAGTCATAAGACTATTGTGGAATTTAACCACAAGCTTTTGAGCCGAAATCAAAGGTTTTAATTAAACTAACAGTCTACTCCGCCCACTCCAGCCCGCCTTGTATTCATTCATAGATTAATCCCACAGTAAGTAAAATTAAGACACCTGATGCCCAGCAGAAAGTTAGCAATGGGGTGGTTAGCTGGTCCCCCCACGGGAGGGGGAGCAGTAGGGCAATTTCAAGGTCAAACAGTAGAAAGAGGATCGCGACAAGGAAAAAGCGGAGGGAGAAGGGCAGGCGGGCTGTGCCCAGGGGGTCAAATCCGCATTCATAGGGCGATAGTTTCTCGTAGTCTGGAATTATCTGAGGCAGCCAGAAAGACACCAAGGCTAGGATCGAGGAGAGTAGGGCGGCAATGATGAGGGAGGTAGTAAGTAGATTGGACATTATCTTTTCTTGGATTTTAACCAAGGCTGGGTGGTTGGAAGCCATCAGTACTAAGACTGTACTAAAAAGATTAAGAACCTCATCAATAGATGGAGATGTACAGGAATAGTCATACTACATCGACAAAGTGTCAATATCAGGCGGCGGCTTCGAACCCGAAATGGTGTTCGGATGTAAAATGGTATTGAATCTGGCGGAGAAGGCACACGGCCAGGAAAGTTGAGCCAATAATAACATGTAGGCCGTGGAATCCGGTTGCGACGAAGAAGGTTGAGCCGTACACGCCGTCTGCGATTGTGAAGGGGGCTTCGTAGTATTCTATGCCTTGAAGGAATGTAAAATAAAACCCTAGGAGGATCGTAAGGGTTAAGGATTGAATTGCTTGTTTTCGTTCTCCTTCTATGATGCTGTGGTGGGCCCAAGTGACTGTGACCCCCGAGGCTAGAAGCACTGCTGTGTTTAAGAGGGGGACTTCAAAGGGGTCTAAGGTGGTGATTCCAGTGGGGGGTCAGCATCCTCCAAGTTCGGGGGTCGGGGCCAGACTTGAGTGGTAGAAAGCTCAGAAGAAGCCTAGGAAGAAGAAAACTTCGGAGGTAATGAATAAGATTATACCGTAACGAAGTCCCTTCTGCACGGGTGGGGTGTGGTGGCCTTGGAATGTTCCTTCTCGCACGATGTCTCGTCACCATTGATATATGGTGAGAAGAAGTAGAACTGTTCCTAGGGTTATTAGTACAATAGAGTTATAGTGGAATCAGATTGCTAGGCCGGATGTTATTAAGAGGGCGGCAACTGCCCCTGTCAGAGGTCATGGGCTGGGGTCGACTATATGGTATGCGTGTGCTTGATGGGCCATTAGACGTTTTCTTGAAGGTACAGGCTTAGAAGCAGGACAAAGACGTAGGCCTGAATCATAGCCACAGCTACCTCCAGGAGGGTTAGTAGTAGTAAGAGTGTTGCGGTTAGTAATGCAACTGTAGGCATTAGGGGAGCTAGGACGAATGCAGCGGTGGCAATAAGTTGAATAAGGAGGTGCCCTGCTGTTAGGTTGGCAGTGAGTCGAACACCAAGGGCGATGGGACGAATAAAAAGGCTAATTGTTTCGATAATAATCAGTACTGGAATTAGGGGGGTGGGGGTGCCTTCTGGGAGGAGGTGGCCCAGGGCGATGGTAGGTTGGTTGCGCATTCCAATCAGCACTGTTGCAAGTCATAGGGGGACGGCAAAACCTATATTTAGGGAAAGTTGAGTAGTAGGGGTGAAGGTGTAAGGGAGAAGGCCTAGCATATTTAAGGTAATTAAGAAGACTATTAAAGATGTTAATAAAAGTGCCCATTTGTGCCCTTTACGGCCTAGCGGGAGCATAAGTTGTTGTGTGAATCGATTAATGAATCAGCCCTGGAGGGTTAGCACTCGGTTGCTGATTCATTGAGATGTGGGTTTAGGGTATAATGTCCAAGGAAGAATGAGCGCGAGGGCTATTAAGGGGATCCCTAGGTAGGAAGGGCTTATGAATTGATCAAAGAAGCTTAATACCATGGTCAAGCTCAGGGTTCTGTCTTTGGAGTATGGGCGCTCCGGGATGTTGTTTCGTTGGGAAAAGTGTGTGATAGAACCTTTCGTGGCAGAACAATTAAAAAAATTAGCCAGGAAAAAAACAGGATTGTGAATCAGGGGGCTGGGTTAAGTTGAGGCATGTCGCTAGGGGTGGTTGGGGGCCACCAATCTTTAGCTTAAAAGGCTAACGCTTAGACCCTATTCAGCTTCTTAGCGAGGCGTCTTCGAGCATAAGAGAGGATCAGTTTTCGAAGTGTTCTAGGGGGACGGCTTCTACCACGATGGGCATAAAGCTATGGTTTGCGCCACAAATTTCAGAACACTGTCCGTAGTACACTCCTGATCGGGAGGCAACGAAAGCTGTCTGATTCAGTCGCCCGGGAACTGCGTCTATTTTTACCCCTAGGGCTGGTACTGCTCAGGAGTGGAGAACGTCTTCGGCGGAGACAAGGACTCGAACGGGGGACTCTGAGGGGACCACTATTCGGTGGTCGGTTTCTAGTAGTCGGAATTGTCCTGGGGAGAGATCTTGTGTTGGGATTATGTAGGAGTCAAAGCCTAGTTCTTCATAATCTGTATACTCGTAACTTCAGTATCATTGGTGTCCCATGGCTTTAATTGTTAAATGAGGGTCATTAATTTCATCTATCAGATAAAGAATTCGGAGGGAGGGAAGGGCGATTAAGATTAGAATTAGTCCGGGGAGAACAGTTCAGATGACTTCGATTTCTTGGGAGTCTAGAATATACTTATTTGTTAGGTCCGTGGTGACTATTGCAATAATAATATAAAGTACTAGTGTACTAATCATAAAGACAATTATTAGGGCGTGGTCGTGGAAGTGGAGAAGTTCTTCTATTACAGGGGAAGCTGCGTCTTGAAAGCCAAGTTGAGAGGGATGTGCCATTAATGGTCAAGGTATGTGGGGTTTTAACTCACAACTCGGTCCTGACGAGACCATGTAATAATTTTACTAATATCTTATTAAGAAAGTGACAGAATGGTTATGTGGTTGGCTTGAAACCAGATCATGGGGGTTCAATTCCTCCCTTTCTCGTTAGTTAGTCCGTACTTGGACAAAAGCTGGTTCTTCAAATGTGTGGTAGGGAGGAGGGCAGCCGTGTAGCCACTCGACGTTGGTGATAGTCAGTTCAACTGATACTACTTCACGTTTTGAGGCAAATGCTTCTCATAGAATGAATAGGAACATAATTACGGCCACTAAGGAAATGATGGACCCGAAAGAGGAGACAGTGTTTCACAGCGTATAGGCGTCGGGGTAGTCTGAGTAGCGTCGGGGCATGCCGGCCAGACCAAGGAAGTGTTGGGGGAAGAAGGTTAAGTTCACCCCAATAAACATAACTACAAAATGAACTTTGGTTCAGGTCGAGTGCAGGGTGTAGCCCGTAAAGAGTGGGAATCAGTGAACGAAGGCGGCAACGATGGCAAATACAGCCCCCATAGACAGCACATAGTGGAAGTGGGCTACTACGTAATAAGTGTCATGGAGAACAATGTCCAGTGAGGAGTTAGCCAGTACGATCCCGGTCAGCCCTCCGACTGTAAATAGGAAGATGAACCCGAGGGCTCAAAGGAGTGGGGTTTCTCATTTAATAGAGCCCCCGTGGAGGGTGGCGAGTCAGCTAAACACTTTTACCCCGGTTGGAATGGCAATAATTATTGTGGCAGAGGTAAAATACGCTCGAGTGTCTACGTCTATGCCAACAGTAAACATGTGGTGGGCTCAAACAATAAAGCCAAGAAGGCCAATTGCCATCATTGCTCATACCATGCCCATATAGCCGAACGGTTCTTTTTTACCTGCGTAGTATGCTACGATGTGTGAAATTATTCCAAAGCCTGGGAGAATTAGAATATAAACTTCGGGATGTCCGAAAAATCAAAATAAATGTTGGTAAAGAATTGGGTCACCTCCCCCGGCAGGATCAAAGAAGGTTGTGTTCAGGTTTCGGTCTGTAAGGAGCATTGTGATACCGGCGGCAAGAACGGGTAGGGAAAGAAGAAGTAGGACGGCTGTAATAAGGACGGCTCAGACAAATAAAGGGGTTTGGTACTGAGAAATAGCAGGGGGTTTTATGTTAATAATTGTTGTAATAAAATTAATTGCCCCTAGGATTGAAGAAATCCCTGCAAGATGCAGGGAGAAAATTGTTAGATCAACGGATGCACCCGCATGCGCAAGGTTTCCAGCTAGTGGGGGGTAGACGGTTCAACCTGTCCCGGCCCCAGCTTCTACCCCAGACGATGCTAGGAGAAGTAAAAAGGAGGGGGGCAGAAGTCAGAAGCTCATGTTGTTTATTCGAGGGAACGCCATGTCTGGGGCCCCGATCATCAGGGGAATAAGTCAGTTTCCAAATCCGCCAATTATAATTGGCATTACTATAAAGAAAATTATTACAAACGCATGTGCTGTGACGATTACATTGTAAATTTGGTCGTCTCCAAGAAGGGCCCCGGGTTGGCTTAGTTCTGCCCGAATAAGCAGGCTTAGGGCTGTGCCCACTATCCCGGCCCAAGCACCGAAAATAAGGTAAAGGGTGCCAATGTCTTTATGATTGGTTGAAAAGAGTCAACGGGTGGTTGCCACAGGTAGGATGGCTGAGTTTTAAGCGGTGGATTGTAGCCCCATATACAGAGGTTTGAGTCCTCTTCTTACCAAGCTCCGAGGTGGTTCTCATATTGGATTGCAAATCCAAAGAAGTCGGTTAATTCCCGACCGGGGCTTTCCCCCGCCTTCTTAGCTCGAAAAGGCGGGGGAAAGGCTAGACGAATGCTCGCTGGTTTGAGCGCTTAGCTGTTAACTAAGAGTTTGTAGGATCGAGGCCTGCTTGTCTAGAAAGGCCTTAGCTTAATTAAAGCGTCTGTGTTGCATACAGGAAATGTGGGTTAGTGTCCCGCAGGTCTTATTCAGCAAATGTGGGGCTCCCACCCCCTCTTCGGGCTTTGAAGGCTCGCGGTCTGTAATGTTAACCTAAATTGCTAAGTTGTGAACAGTGTTGTTAGTGCTGGTGTTAAGGGTAGGAGTATTATAGTGGCGGCAGTTGAGAGGGCAAGGGGGAGAGTCTTTTGAGGGCTGTTAAGGCGTCAGGGGGTTGTCCCTGGGAGGTTGTTGGGGGACATGGTGAGGGTTATGGAGTAGGATAGGCGGAGGTAAAATACTAGGCTAAGAAGGGCGCTAAGGGCTGCTAGTGTGGCTGTTAGCCCTAGGTCTTGCTTAGTTAGTTCTTGAAGGATGAGTCATTTTGGTATAAATCCTGTCAGGGGGGTAGCCCTCCTAGGGAGAGTAGAATTAAGGGGGTTAGGGCGGTTATAGTTGGAGATTTCGTTCAGGAGGTTGACAGAGCATTTATTGTTGTTACATTGTTTAGTTTAAAAACAACAAATGTTGAAAATGTTATTAGGAAGTACGTAATCAGAGTGAGGAGTGTCAGTGAGGGGGTGAATTGAAGAACTAGGATTATTCATCCAAGGTGGGCGATGGATGAATAGGCAAGGACTTTGCGAAGTTGTGTTTGATTTAGTCCTCCCCAGCCTCCTACAAGTGTGGAGACTAGCCCTAGCAAAATAAGAGTGGTTGAGTTTATGGGCTGGGTCTGCAAGAGGAGGGCAAAGGGGGCTAGTTTCTGCCAGGTGGATAGGATGAGGCCGGTAGTGAGATTCAACCCTTGTAGGACTTCAGGTAGTCAAGTGTGTAGTGGTGCTAGACCAATCTTTAGGGCAAGGGCCATGGTCAGAAGGGTGAGTGGCAGGGGGTGGGTCAGTTGAAAAATGTTCCATTGTCCTGTGAGCCAGGCGTTGGTGGTGCTTGCAAATAGGATTATGGCTGCAGCGGTGGCTTGGGTGAGGAAGTATTTTGTGGTGGCTTCTACTGCCCGGGGGTGGTGGTGTTGGGCTATTAGTGGAAGGATGGCGAGGGTATTAATTTCCAGGCCTATTCACGCGAATAGTCAGTGGGAACTTGCAAATGTAATGGTTGTCCCTAGGCCCAGGCTTAGAAGTAAGGTGGTTATAATTAGGGGGCTCATTAGGAAGGGTTGGAGTTTAACCAACATTCTTGGGGTATGGGCCCAAAAGCTTTGTTAGCTTACCTTTCTAGAAGGTGGTGTAGAGGAAGCACTAAGAGTTTTGATCTCTTCGGGTGGGGTTCAAGTCCCCTCTTTCTAAGGAGGTGGAAGGACTTTAACCTTCATTATTCACTCTATCAAAGTGACCCTTTAAACTTCAGGCACAGCTCCAGTGCTAGGATTGTGGTGGGATCCCGGCGAATGCTGTGGGGAGGGAGAGGTGTCAGATAATCAGGGCAAGTGTTGTAGGTAGGAAGTTTTTCCAAATGAGGTGCATGAGTTGATCGTATCGGAACCGGGGGTAGGAGGCTCGCACTCACAAGAACAGGACCGCGAGGAGCGAGGCTTTTGTTATTATGTTAAGTGAGGTAAGCTCGGGGAAGATGGGGGTGTACATTGCGCCTCAGAATAAAATAGCAGATAGAGTGTTCATTAGTAAGATGTTGGCGTACTCCGCCAGGAAGAATAGTGCGAAGGGTCCTCCGGCATACTCTACGTTGAATCCTGAGACTAGTTCGGATTCCCCCTCCGTTAGGTCAAAGGGGGCCCGGTTGGTTTCGGCAAGGGTTGAAATATATCATATTGCCGCTAGTGGCCATGCTGGGAGGAGGAGTCAGACACTTTCTTGGGTCGTGCTAAAGGTTTGCAGGGTGAACCCGCCTGAAAAAATGATAATGCTTAGTAGGATAAGCCCAAGACTAACTTCGTAGGAAATGGTTTGGGCAACGGCTCGGAGGGCTCCAATGAGGGCGTATTTTGAATTTGATGCTCATCCCGAGCCAAGGATGGAGTATACTGCCAGGCTTGAAAGGGCGAGGATAAATAGAATGCTTAGGTTTAGATCCAAAATTGGATGTGGGAGAGGCATAGGTGCCCATATTAGGAGGGCAAGGGTGAGGGCTAGCATAGGGGCGAATAAAAATAATACAGGAGAAGAGGTTGAGGGTCGCACGGGTTCCTTGAGAAACAGCTTAACGCCGTCAGCAATGGGTTGCAATAGTCCGTAGGGTCCTACAATATTTGGGCCCTTCCGGAGTTGTATGTATCCTAAAACTTTTCGTTCAATCAGTGTTAAGAAAGCTACTGCTAGTAAAACGGGTACAATGTACGCTAGGGGATTGGCAAGGTGGGTGAGGAGGAATGCCATAATTGGAGGGAGGATTTGAACCTCTGTGTAAAGGGCTTAGACCTTCCGCATCATCCGGGCTCTGCCACTCCAATTTCGCCCAGCTCTAGGGCTTGGGGGCCGTGTCCTCTTGCCTGATTTAGTTGCCTGCATCGGGTGAGGGGGAGGCGTGCGGGGAGCAGGGGCCTCTTCTTTCCGGTCCTTTCGTACTAGGAGAGATCACTTCATAGATAGAAACTGACCTGGATTACTCCGGTCTGAACTCAGATCACGTAGGACTTTAATCGTTGAACAAACGAACCCTTAATAACGGCTGCGCCATTAGGATATCCTGATCCAACATCGAGGTCGTAAACCCCCTTGGCGATAGGGGCTCTGGAAGGGGATTGCGCTGTTATCCCTAGGGTAACTCGGTTCGTTGATCGGCTTTGCCGGGTCTGTAAGGTTAAAAGTTTTATTTCTTAGAGCAGGAGCTCTCAGTTTGGGAGGACAGTGCCTCTGTTCCGCTTGGGGGTTTGTTGTTTCCCCGAGGTCGCCCCAACCAAAGACATAAGAGCAGGGGATATTTAGTTTTTTTTCTTGTTCGAAGGTGTTTAACATAGTCTGTCTTTGTGTCTAAAGCTCCATAGGGTCTTCTCGTCTTATGTGGGTATCCCCGCTTCTGCACGGGGGGATCAATTTCATTGACTGGGAAGAGGAGACAGTTTAGCCCTCGTTATGCCATTCATACGGGTCCCCATTTAAAAGACAAGTGATTGCGCTACCTTTGCACGGTCATAATACCGCGGCCGTTGAACGTATTGTCACTGGGCAGGCGGGACCTCTTATTCGTTCAAGTTTGCAAGAGGCGATGTTTTTGGTAAACAGGCGAGGCCAATAGGGTGTTTGCCGAGTTCCTTCTCTTCCTTTTAGTCTTTCCTTTTTAGCACACCAGTGTGGGGTTAACGGTTTTCTATTGGAGAGTTTTCTGGGTTTTTATAGACTGTCTAGTTCCCTCTTCTTTTGGGGTCGTTAAATATCGGTGGGGGTTCGAGCCGAGGTACACATGTGCTGGGAGAGGTTCTAGGTCCTCTTATTACTGATACTAGCAGGATCGCTTCCATGAGTGCATGAAGCGGCCGGATAGAATAAGGGGATTAAGATTGGGTTATCGGAATTTTAGGGTGTGAGGGCGCAGTGCCTAAGCTATAACGCTTTTCTAGGGGGTGGCTGCTTTCAAGCCTACCTCAACTCTCGGGCCTTAATGACTATGATCTTTATCCTTCATTTCAAAGTTGTGTCTTGGTTCAAAGGGGCTGTACCCCCCTTGACTAACTCTTTTGGTTTCTTTTGTAACAGGGAGAAGATTAGGGTCTAGTTGAAAGGAGAATCCAAAAGGCTGAACTTCTATCCACTTCTCCGGCAACCAGCTATAACTAAGTTCGGTAGGTCTGTCACCGCTACTCGAAGCTCTTCCCACTCTTTTGCCACAGAGACGGGTTGGCCCTAGATTTATAGGCTGTCTTGAAGTAGCTCACTTAGTTTCGGGGATTTAAACTAAAATAGATTTTGCTTAAGTGTTACTAGCTAATTCATGATGCAAAAGGTACGAGGGAGAAGCTCTGCTGTTAGTAGTTTGCTGGGCTGTTTCATTTTTCTTTCAGCTTTCCCTTGCGGTACTTTAGTTATTGCTCCTATTTTCTTTTCTATCTCCTATACTGAGAAGGAAAAATGATTTGTTTTATGATGGTGGGTACATTTGGGGGTAGTTAAGAGGGGAGAGTTGATCTTTGGGGGACGGGCTAGCTGTTGGACATTAGAACATCCTGTTTTGCACAGGCATGTGGTGGTTTCAGTTCCGCCATTTAATGGTTGGCAATGTTCTGGGGTTTCAAGACAGCCCGGTTTGCACGGGCACCTTCCTTGGGGGGATGCTTTATCTGTGTTTAGCTATGCCTTGGGGTGTGGGTGTGAGTTTGTTGTGGGGTACTGCCAGGTTAGTGCTTATGGAGGGAAAGTTGTTGGGGGTGTCTTGTTGTTTTGTTGCAAATTATATTCCAAGATAGCCCGATTTTCACGGGCACGATTCCCTGGGAGGGGGGCTATTTTTACTTTAGCTGTGTCTTGGGGGTCTGTTGTGAGGGGCCAATAGTTTGGCCCAGTTATGTTGAATCAAGACAACCCGGTTTGCACGGGTACCTTCTCGGTGTAAGTGAGATGCTTTATCTGTGTTTAGCTATATCTTGAGGTCTAATTTCAAGGCAGCCCGGTTTGCATGGGCACCTTCCCCGGAGGGATGCTTTATCTGTGTTTAGCTATGCCTTGGAGTGTGGATACGATCTTGCTGTGGGGGCGTCGTTAGGTTAGTTCTTCTGGAGAGAAGGCTGTTGGGGGGTCTTGTTGTTTTGTCGGAGATTACACCCTAAGACAGTCCGATTTTCATGGGCATTACTCTTGGGGGGAGGAGGTATCTTTGTTTAGTTGCGTTTCGGGGTGCACAGAGTAGTCCGGCTTGCACGGAGATTGATCGGGGTAGAATGATAACTTTTACTTAGTTTTACTCTTGTTTTTCCAAGCGCACCTTCCGGTACACTTACCATGTTACGACTTGCCTCCCCTTACATTGCCTTGTTGTATTAATTATTAGATGTCGGCGGAGTCGGGGAGAGTGACGGGCGGTGTGTGCGCGCTTCAGGGCCAAATTCAGCAAGACACTCTATTTCTTGCTTACTGCTAAATCCTCCTTTAGGCAGATTTTTCAATCCACCATCCGTAATTCATTGTAGTTTATTGAATGTAGCCCATTTCTTCCCCCTCCATTCGCTACACCTCGACCTGGCGTCTAGGGCAGTGCCAGTTTGGCTCATTATTTTACCCTCAAAGGGCGAGCTGACGACGGCGGTATATAGGCGGAAAAGGCAAGGAAGGGTGAGGTTTAACGGGGATTATCGGTTCTAGAACAGGCTCCTCTAGGTGGATCTAAAGCACCGCCAAGTCCTTTGGGTTTTAAGCTGATGCTCGTAGTACCCGGGCGGATAGCGTAAGTGGTGGGCTATCTTTGTTTAGGGCTAGGCATAGTGGGGTATCTAATCCCAGTTTGTTCCCTAGCTTTCGTGGAATCAGAAAAGTTAAAGTCACTTTCGTTGTTGGGCTTCGCTTTTTCGTAAGCGTATAACAGCTTTGAAGTTGTTCGACTTTAGTTTGGGTGTATCTTAACCACTCTTTACGCCGGCAGCTGTCAACTTGGGTCCCTCGTATAACCGCGGTGGCTGGCACGAGATTTACCAACCCTGTAAGCACTAACTAGGTCAAGTTTTCACTCATGGCTTAATATTTGTCACTGCTGAAGTCCCTTGGGGGTGTGGCTGAGCAAGATGTCGTGGGCTGAGTGTCTCGTGCCTGATACCTGCTCCTCGTCTCCATTCAGGAGGAAAGGGCATCCTCACGGGTCTGCGGATACTTGCATGTGTAAGTTTAGCTCAAGTTGAACAGCAAAGTTAGGACCAAACCTTTGTGTTTTCGGGGCTTTCTAGGGCCCATCTTAACATCTTCAGTGTCATGCTTTAATTAAGCTACGATAACAATTTAAATATTATAATATTATAAATTATAGCTATTTGGGCAAAAATTGCTTATAGGCACTTTATTGTTTTTTAGGGGGTCGTAAAAACGTTAGGCTCTTTAGGGGTGAGGTAAAATTGTGTACGGGGGGGGAAGCTTCAAGCACTGTTTAGGATTTCCTGTTTCCGGGGGGGTTTTAGGAGTATTAATGATCTTAGGAGTGTGGGGGGGTAGGGGGGGTTTACCCGCAAAAACCGAGGGGGGCTCGCAGGAGGAGTGATGTGAAAGCTAGTACTATTATGCTCTTGATATAATCTGATGCATTTCTTATTGAAATGTTTATGAGAGCTTAATAGATTATCCTTTAGCCAAATAGGAATATGTACTACCTTGACGTTATTTACCGTGCGCACTCTGAAATGCAAGGTGAAAGGAAGACAAAAAAAAAAACCTCATACCCGCTGGAGTGAACGCTCGG